TTTCTGCTGACAATGATTCCTCGCCTCCTTCCCCCTCTGTCTCCACCTTTTCCTCATCTCCTCTCCTCTCTGGCCTCAAGGGCTCTTCACTTCCTTTCCTCTCCACCATCAGTGACATATCCACTCCTTCCCACTCGGCCCCTGCCTTTTCCTCGCTTCCTTTCTTCCCTGTGGCTGCTGATTCCTCTGCCTGTCTCCTCTCTACCTCCCAGGTATTCTCCCCTCCCACCTTCTCTGCCCTGACAGGACTCTCAACTCCTCCCTCGCTCCCTGGTGCCCTTAACCCTTCCAACCCCTCCACCAGCAGCTCCTCCCATTCCTCACTGAGGGTTACTCTCTCCACCCAAATGAAGGACCCCTCCTCTCCTCCAGAGCCCCTCTGCCTGTAGCCATCAGGGCTGCCCCTGGGGGCCTCTTCCCCTTCTCCAGAAGCTTCTTCCGCTAGTCCCTCCTGGAGCCTGGGTGAGCTGGTCTGCACAGCCTCTGGGCCTCCGCCCGCCTCCCTGGTGGCCCCTGAGTCACTGCTCTTCCCTCCCACCCCTTCCCAGACCACCTCCATGACACCTCTGTCTTCCTTCACCCAGGATGGGAGCTCCGAGCGGTCAGCTTCTGGCCTGTCCCCGATGGCCTCCAGCACCATCTCCTCCACCTTAGCTTCCAGCTCCGGGCCCGTGGCCCCTATGGCACAGTCCTCTGTGGCCCTCAGCCCCTCCCACACCACTGTCACCACACACCCTCCTTTGGCCTCACCCGCCCCTGCCTCGGATGCTGCCATCTCCTGACTCTGCTCCTGCTCCAGAGGGAGGCTGGGTCTAGGGCAGGGGCCATTGGCTTCTGAGGAGGTCTCTGCTGCCCCGGGGACCTGCCTCAGGGCTTGCGGAACCCCAATAGCCTCATCTCTGGGCTCAGAGGGGGACTCTAGGAATGTGACCACTGGTCCAGCTGGCAAGGAGGCTCTCTTGTTCAGATCGGTCTGGCCTGAGGGAGTCAGGGGAGCAGAGCAGAAAGGGGACGACAAGGTAAGATTCAGACCACCCAGATTCAGGTCCCTCCTGATACCCCAGACCTATGGGCACAAATACTCACCTGCAGTATCTGCCTCCACGGTGGGCTGGGAGAGTGGACGGTGACCCTGCGGGGATGGCAGACAAGGTCAGGCCAGCCCATGTCTCTGCCTTCAGCCTCCTGCATGCCAGTACCCCTTCCCTGTTCAAACACCTTCAATAGCTCCCCATTACCTTCAGGACCAAACCCTCTAATGCACCTCAGCCTTCCTCACCCATTTATCGCCCTCTGCTCCAGTGCTTCACACACAGTAGGTGCTTAATCAATACTGTGTCATGCAGCCAATATCTCTGGTATTGGGAACCTATTCTTAAGGCTTTTGCTACTGGAACATACATTCCAATGGGAGGAGGCAGGTCATAAATACAAACAAATAAATATATAATGTCAGGGAGTGAGGAGTATGGCAGGGAAAAAAAAAAACAGGATGAGGCATTAAGGAATGTTTGGGAGATGACGGATGCCTCCTTTATGTATAAGATAACAGGAGGGCCTCTTAGAGGAGGTGACATTAATAAGAGACCCGAGGATGAGAAGAGCCAGCCTTCAGTCAAGAGGTGGGGAAGGGCATTCCAAGCAGAGGGGACAGCAAGTGCAAAGGTCCTGGGGTTGCAAGGAGCTAGGCAAGTTCGAGGAACAGAAAAGAGGGTCAGTATGGCTGGAATGGAGTGAGGAAGGAAGCGAGAGGAAGATAGACTTGGGGAGAGGTTCTGGGGACAACCATGCAGGCCACCTAGGCCTCAGTTCTCTGATCCTGTCCTCTTTCCGGACTCCATGACTTTGCACAAGTTATTCTTTGCCTTGAATTGCCTGCCTCTCACTCAGATACAGCATAGATGTCACTGCCTCCAGGAAGCCTTCCCTGAATCCTCAACCTCAGGTGCTTCCTCCAAGCTATCTCACGCCCAGGGCTCCCCCTCACAGACTTTGTGCACCCAATCTCTTCATCTGGACTGTTAACTCCCATGGACCAGGACGCATGCCTCGTGTGTCTCTGGCAAGGAACTTCCCGCTTATATCGAAAACCCAGCAAGTGCTTCCCATGCTGATTAACAGGTCTCCTCTCCCTCTCTGTCCTGTGACAGGCACCTGAAAGCTAAGGCAAGACATCAGGGAGAGGTGGGGACTGTGGAAAACCCACACTTCACTGTGGCCAGGTGCAAATGTGGCCGGATCTTTGGACTTCAGAGACAATTCGGACCTCTAGATTTTATTGCAAAGTGTCTTGGTTTTCAAAACCCTGTGTATGGCATGTGGATTCTATCTTAATAAAGGTGTTATCAAAATGAAAACCAAAAAACCCCAACACCTGTGTGGAGCATCTCACGGTTTCTTCCTGCCTTCCTCATTTGGGCCATACTAGCGACCATGTATCAAAACGTTCTGTGGTGCCTGTCCCTAGGGCTAACTTGTAAGGTCCTCCACCCTCTCTCACACCTCTTCCAGGTGTGTGCTCATATTCTTTTCAGAGATGGGGAAACTGAGGCTTGGGGAAGGAGAGTGATTTGCCCAAGACCACAAAGCAAAGAAGCAGAGGACTAAGCATCTAAACTGTACTTGCAGAGGTCCTGCTTGGGGCCCTGTGGCCACAGCCCCTCCCCAACCATTTGCTCCTTGGCTCCTCACCTGTCTGTGCCAGGTGGGCCTGCCCGAGGGCTTGTGCTGGGCACCTGTGGATGCACTTTGCAACAGCTGCAGCTGGGATTGGAGTCTGGGGAAGAGAGGGGGCTGCTGGGAGCCAAGCCCCCAGGCTCAGTGGATCCCCACAGTCTCAATTTGCCACCTTCCAGGAGGGGGCCCAGGGGTCCTGGCCTAGCCAGTTTGGGGCCAAGGAGGCAAGCTGAGGCCCCACTCACGTGAACAGGCTGTCTTCCAGGTTCCGGATGCGGGCCTGCGCCTGGCCCTCCGGCGACTGGGGATCCTGCGAGGTGGGGTCCTCAGGTCCCTCTGGCCCCTCAGCGGCCCCGTCCATTAGCCACCGCTCCCGGAGAGACTTCCTCTGGTCATGGGAAGGGGGCGCCAGCTGGGGATACAGACTCCCATGCCCCAGGTAGGGTCCCCACCCCCAGGCTGGGCAGGTTTCTTATAGCACCACAATCACCCAGATGGGACAGACATTTCTCCCATCACTGCTAGGTGGGAAAGACACCCCATGACCAGCCCATAGCTTCCCCAGGCTGAGAAAAAACACCCATCAACCTCCCAACGCTTCTAGAATGGGATTTTCATCAAGAGGTGAACTCAATGTCTCTCTTGGCCCCTCCCTACCCCACAGTTGGACAAATACCTTCACTGTCCCCATACTCTTCTCCACAGAAGGTGGAACGGACGGACAGGCACCACAGAAGGTGGAACGGACGGACGTCCACATCACCACCACCGCCACTCTCCCAAGCAGGGAAAGACACCGCCCCCAAAGCTGGAACCAGTGCCCCTACCTCCTTCCCCGAATTAGAGGCTCCTGTGGTCCCGCGAGCCGACTCTCACAGGTACCCCCCACTGCCCGGCCCAAGCTAGGCAGGCGCCCCAGCTGACCCCCAACCTTGAGCCTCTCCACGCGGAGTTTCTCCTCCTCCAGCTCCCTGCGCGCCGCGCGGATCTCCTCCTGCAGCCGCCGCTTCTCCTGCGCACAGAGGACCGAGCTGCCCGCGGGCCGGGCGGGACCGCCGCCTCCCCTTCCGCACTCCCTTCTCCACCCGCTCACCGGGGCTCCCGGTGTTCTCGGGGCTGCGAGGCGGCGGAG